GCCGCACGAGAAGGGGAGCGTACACCGGGGGGCGGCGGTGAGGTGGGGTGAGATCATGACGCCGATGTATATTAGCAGAAAGGGATGAAGAAAGAAAAGATACAAATGATATGGTAGATGAGGCGATTATATTACATTATAGGTCATAATAGTTTAAAGGTGAGCAGACATTATCTTTACTGGAAGGAAAATAGGTGATACAAAATATGTACTACTGTCTCCAAACGATTGAACAAAACAAAAAGACAAATCTTGAAGAATTATTTTAGATGTAAAACGAAGAAATTCTGGAATATTTTTCTCTAGGTCGAGATCTAAAAAAAAATCAAAATCACCAGGATCACTAGAAAAGAAATTGTCGAGATAGGATCGAGACTAAAAACGTCTTAGTTTCACATATCTATAGTCTGTATCGAATATTTGATTTTAGCAAATGTATGCTCCGTTACAAAACAATTTGAAGCATTTTGCCGAAAGTCTACTGCAAAAGTCAGTACGGCGAAATTCGTGCTATCCATAAAAACTCAGTATACCGGGACATCCTCGGCGATCAGAAGTAGGCGAAATAGTAAAATTATCGTTACAACATCCAAATGGTGAAGTAATACAACTTGAATTAATAGATAAATGTGGAAGAAGAACTAAGATTAAAATATTGAAATATTATACGAAAAACAAAACATGCATTTCTCCTACTGCATTCCCTTCTTTTCTTTGCTGGTATCAAATCATTTCTTGCACATTGACAAAGACCATTTGTACAAATCATATTTTGACCACAATGTCTATCTGATAAACACATTCGATATGGGAAAATAGCAGTCAGAACTATAAAAATATACTTTTACAGAATATACTTTTTTTTTCGTCTTATTCTACCTTTAACACAACATCGATTTGTTTGTTTATTACAATAACTATTTATTGGACATCGTTCCATAGTATCACATTCAATATGAAGATCTAATTTTAAATCAAGTAATGGTTCATCATAACCACATTCTCGAGTATATTCTAAAGAAAAATAGAATTGTACATATTAAAAATTGGTTTGTTTTTTTTTAAATACCAATTTGATCTTTATCTTTAGTACAATAATGAGGTGCAACAGTATAAATATGAATTTTTAATTCACATGAACGTATATCCATTTCACATTGACTGTGAAATAATTCTTGATTACTTCCACATGTTGTAGATGAATTATTATTCTAAAACATACATTTATAATAATTGTTGTCCTATGAAAAAGTTATTATTTTTGATCGACTTTTGTCGTGTTAGGTACATGAGAAGTGATCCGATAAAAGTTTTGGTCGAAAAAGTTTAACAACTCTCGTCTGAAATGATGGGCATTCGGATAGTTTTCTATGAACATCTTATCAGTGATCTCAA